TGACAGTTATGATACTAGGTTCGTAGAACAGTGTTCAAATAAACGATTCCGTACTATTTTGCGTTGCTATGGATGGAACCCACAAGTGCTCTACCTCTGAGTTACATCTCAGATTATTATTTTGGATACAAGCTCTATTGCCCTGGCTGTCCTAGAACTCACTATGTAGACCAGGCTGGTCTCACAGAGGTCTGGCTGCGTCTGCCTCCCGAGTGACCAGTTTAATACCTTGAAGTTAGATTAGGCATGACAGAAAAGTTTTCTAACCTTTAAGAATGTAATATGTAGGGCCGGGCGGTGGTGGCGCACGCCTTTAATCCCAGCACTCGGGAGGCAGAGGCAGGCGGATCTAGGTGAGTTCGAGGCCAGCCTGGTCTACAAGAGCTAGTTCCAGGACAGGCTCCAAAACCACAGAGAAACCCTGTCTCGAAAAACCAAAAAAAAAAAAAAAATGTAATATGTAGGTGTCCAGTGTGCTGCCAGATGGCATGGACGAGCTTGTTCTGGGCCATATGTGAACTCAGTTTTGATTGGTTCCCTTTCAGTTTTACCCAGTCACGGATGGGTTTTGTTTATATACTTCATTCTCAATTCAACTGATGTTCAGTGTAAAGTTTTCCCTTTTTCTCTTCTGCTTCCTTAGCTTTCCTTCCCAGAAGCAGTTCCTTAAATATTTTTATTAGTTAACTTATTATACAGCTTAGGTTTTTTTCACACAAGAACTTTCTGTATCAAATGGCCTTGACTTCCAGAAACCTCCTGTTACAGCCTTCTAAGAATATATTTCAGGAATCACCATACCTAATTTTTGACTATTTTGAAAATAATTCCAGAATCTTATGAAATGCACTAACAATCATTTTTGTCTCATAACACACCATTTTATACACAGTAACTTATATAGTCACACAGGGTCCAACCTTTGGTTTTTATAACTGCCACAATCAGTGACCATGTAGGATCTATTCCTGGAAATAGGAATATCATTAAGGACATATCTGACAGAATACTTGTCTAACCTAGTTTGATCCTCAGAAAACCAGTTAAAGGGTATGAGCATTTTCTTTATTTTGGGACACAGTGTCAGTATCTCAAACTGGCCTTGAATTCACAGCAGCCTCCTGCCACAGCTTCTTGTGTGCTGAGAATGCAGGCATGTGTCACCATGCCTGCTTTAGCATGTATAACTTGGTAGCTGTTGTGTCTCACGTTATCAAATATTTTGATCTTTGTCAATCCAGCGAAAGTGGTATCCTCCAGGCCATTTAATCTTTTGAAGGAGTGAGCCTTTCTTCATGTTCTCTTCTAGCCTCTGAGGGCATCTGCACACACTTGATATACACACTTTGACACGTTTTCCTTGGTGTGTTTTATCCTTTGCTCATTTTACTTGATTCATAGCTCACTGTAGACTAGGAAAATCAGCAGTTCGCCAAATGAATTGCAAATAGTTCAGTGTTTTTTGGCATTGCTATTTTGTGTGTTATGTATGTGTGTGTACGTGCACATGTGTGAATGCGTGCGTAGAGTCAGAGGACTTTAAAGAAATGCTTCTATGTTTCATAGTATGACCCAGGAATTGAACTCAAGTTCTCAGACTTGTGACACTTTTTTTTTAAAGCCTGTTGAACCTTCTTACTGGCCCTATTGTGTTTGTCATATGAGTGCCCCACCCCCAATTTTATGTTATAATTCAAAGGTTTTCTCATTTTCTTCTGATGTTGTTTGGAGGTAAAGTCACACATAGACCAGGCTGGCCTAGAACTTACTATGTGGCTGAGACTGGTCTTAAACTAATCTTCCTGTCTCCTAGATGCTGGAGGCACAGGTCTGAGCCACCATACTTGGTTTGAGGTGTGAAGATTTTTTTAAAAAAATTTAATTCACAATATGCATGTGAGTTCAGAGGCCAGATGTCAAGTCCTAGAGCTGGAATTACAGGTGGTTGTGAGCCACCTGACTAAATGGGGCTGGGAACACAATTCTGATCTCCTGCAAGAGTAGTAGATGCTCTTAAAGTGCTGAGTCAGCTCTCCATCCCTTTCTACTAGTTATAAGGCTTGCTTTGTACAGTAGCAATTTGGCACTCGGGAAGTGCCTCAGCAGTAGAGCACCTACCCACCATGGTCAAGGCCCGCTCCCTCCCGTTTGATCCCTGCATCGTTTGCAGCTGCTATCAGGAAGCCTTGTGGGTATTGGTATTGCTAAACCCTTCCAGACAAGAAGAGTGATGACTGGGTAGTGGTGGAGGGAGGCAGTGCAGGTGGATCAGGCGGATCTCTCTGAGTTTGAGGCCAGCCTGGTTTACAGAGTGAGTTCCAGGATACACAGAGAAACCTTGTCTTGAGAAGCCAATAAAAGAAAAAAAGGAAAAAAAAAGGGGGGGAGTGATGACTAGAAGACACAAGTTTGTGCAAGCACCCTCCTTCCTTTACTGTCTTCCCCTGAGGACACAAGCACTCATCAATATTGTGGCAGACACCATGGAATTGTGGGATGGATGCTCCCAGAAGAGGACAGGGAGGCAGAGCCAGGCTCCATTAAGGCTGTAGGTGTGCTCCAGCTTTGTCTTAGGAGGTCATGACTATTTGGGAATCTAGGGCTCCGTTTACAAAGGGTGACAATTGTGTCTTGTCTTTGTAGAGAGGGGGAGCATTGTTTTTGTCTGTTTTCCCTACTGGCCTCTGAAGTGTTGGTACCCATTAACTGGTCTTCAAAATTTGGCTGTGGGGTGGAGGGGGTTTGAAATTTGGAAGCCTGGGAATTTCTCCTTTTATCCTCTCCAGTGCTTCTGTCCTTGCACTGCCAGAGGATCTTTCCAAAGCCTGTGCCTCATCTCAACTGTCTTTCTCGTCTCTTCAAGTCTCTTGACTGAGAATCCTGACCTGCTACACTGCCTGCCACCCTTTGCTGCAACTTGGCTTAGTTCCAGGGAAATCACTTAACATGAGACTTAGTTAAATGACAGAGAATACAAGGGGCTAAACTAAGCTGAGATTCTGAGGTAGGCAGCTGGGGGTCTGGGGGTCTGGAGGTCTGGGTGGGTTGTAGGTTCTTTTGACTTTGTGTCATTCTTACCAGGGTCAAACACAGCTGTGTACGCTCCAGGAATCCTGTTTAAAATTGGATGGGAAGGTAGAAGGAGAAAGACAGTGCACAGCAGCCTCATCTGAACAAGGTTCTAAGACACTAGCAGCCTACACCTGTCATATCACAGTGCTCAGTCTTGTTAGTTGCAAGGGAGACGGAAGCACATTGATTATGGCCTATTAGGTGCACCCCTAAAGGCTGTAGGTTTTAACAAGCTAGTGTTTGGGGAAATCGAGGGTCAGCCATCAGTGCCCCGGCTCTAACTGCTTACCTGAGCGGAGTTCTGCAGTTTGCCTTCCCTTCCTGAGTAGATGACTGAAGAACCAAGCCTCATACTCTAAAGGCACAGTGCAGCTCCCTTCACTGTTCTTCCTGGGCTGATTCCTATGATTGTGCAGGAACCCTCTGCACCTGTATTCTTGGATTGGAACAAGGCCTCCCTTACTGTGGCTGTAGGCTTTAACCTCCAACTTTGTGACTCCCCTAAAGATTCCCTACTTTTTATTCCTGCTGCCTCTGGGCTGCCTTCTTGTACCCTTAGGTTTTCTCACTTGTCCACAGGGACCTTTGGTGCAAAACACCTATCCCAGCAACCCAGAGGACATAGAGGGGCACAGGAACAGGGTGAGGCTGATTCTGAGCCCAGGTGTGCAAGGCAGCCAATTTTATCCAGGAGGCATCTGCTGACCTGCCTCAGCTGCGGGCTGAAGCAGTCTTTTCCTCTAGAGAGCACAGATGCTCCCAGAGGCAAGCTGAGTAAGCTGGAAGCCTGTGTACACACCAGCATGCAGTCATAGCCTCCCAGCCTGTGCACACCAGCACGTAGTCATAGCCTCCCAGCCTGTGCACACCGGCCCGCAGTCATACCCTCCCAACCTGTGTGCACATTATCACTGCCTTGAAATCTCGTGCTCTCAGGCAGGTTCTAGCCTAAAGGATCTCTGTGATCTGATGCACGCGTGCGCGCGCGCACACACACACACACACACGTTCCCACCTCTGCTCAAGCTGCAGTCCCTTAGGCAGTAGCTTCATGCTTCTGGTTGTGATATCCCAAGGTCCAGAACCTCTCACATTCAGAAAACTAGCTGCTGGCTTTGCTTGGTCCACATCAAGTCTTCAGAATTCTGTAGACAACACTGCCTTCATGAAGCCGCCCTTGACTGAGCTGAACCTCTGTCCTCTCACAGCTTTGCCCTTTTTACTGCAATGGCCTCACACTAGGCCACACTAAACATTCAATAAATGTCCCCTGAATGAGACTCTATGATGAAGGTACAGTGGATCAGCTGACAAAGGAGACAACCTCAAGTTATTGTGCTTTGCTTTGGGCAAAATGATCATGAGGCAAAAACGAGAAAGTCAGACTCCTTTTGCTTGGATAAAACAACTTATTTTTCATAGTCAGCCTGCCACCTTGCACCTCGAGCAAGCCTTGCCCAAAGCCCAGGTGTCTGCAGCCCTGCATACCTTCCACATAGCACCATAGTGGCTCCACCTGGGGGTTTAATGCTGACGTTCTCAATAGCACCACTAGGAACCTTTTGGGCAGGATCATTCTCTGTGGAAGGTGGTCCTGGGCGCTGTATCTGTTCTTTTGACAGTTACTGAAATGGAACCCAAGGCCTGCTGCATGCTAGATAATCATTCTGTCACTGAGCTATACTCCTGGTCCCCTTTGTAGTAAAAAAAAGTTTGAGGCAGTCTTGGTGTATAGCCCAGGCTGGCTTCCAACATGTAGCAGTCCACCTGACTTTAGCCTGCCGATTACTGGGATTCCAGGTGTGTATTAGCTTGCCCGGCTGTAAAATATTTAGCAGTACTGATCTCTGCACAGTTGCAGCAATAACAACTCCCTCCCCAAGCTACAATAGCCAAGTGTCCCTCTGGGGTTAAAAATGGCCCCTGGCTGAGAGCCACAGGTATAATGTTTATTCCCTCAGTTACAATGGAAGTTCCCTCAAGGTGGCCCAGACACCTGAGATCCTGTGTTCTCAGTCTCTTAAGCTTTAATGATCTCAGCCTGGCACTCACCTTGGCAGCAGATCCCCTTGCCCTGGACAGAGACACACACTCTGGGAGAAGTTAACCACCTTTCCCCTTCTGCCAGACTCTAGGGCTCACACTGCTGAGGGTGTGACTTCTGCACTTGGCAGCAGCCCCTCAGCCTCTGCGCTCGGAGTGGTCAGGCAGGGCAGGGCTTCCCAGAGCTGTGAGGCAGCAGGTGCACGGCAGTCCTCCACAGGGATGACCTCTAGTCTTCATCCTTTCCTCAAGGGGAAGAGGCAGTGAGCAGAATGCAGTCTGGGGAAGACTGGGTTCTCATAGAAGGGCCAGCAGCCAGCCAGACTTACTGGTCTGCACTCTTGCTTTCCTCCTGGTCCTCTGCGACAATCACATGGTGAGAATCTGCTTTGCAGACACAAAGGGCTTCATAGAGGCTTCCAAGGCCTGCTGGTAGTCCTGCAGTGGAACCTCAGAGCAGGCGGGGGCTGTGAGCTGGCCTTGGCGAATGAAGTCACAGAGGGTGAGAATCAGCTCCTTGAACTCATCTGCGTGGAAGGAAAGTCAGACAAGAAGTGAGGGTCTGACATTGTGAGGGCCAACATAAGACAGGGAAACATGAAGAGAGATCCTAGGAACTGAAGGGTGGGCACTGCCTACCTTTCTAAGGTGGCTCAGATCCACAGAACAGGACTGGTGAAATTGGCCCTGACTGGTGGGTGGGGCAGCAGTACTGAACTAGGGAAGTCAGAGAAGGCCAGAAAGGCAGTGTACCAGGCACACTGCTTGATGTCAACAGGTCAGATGAGGGAAAGCTCTCCTTGACTGCCCTGGGCTTCCACGGGACTCTTCAACTAAGGCAACCACTATCCTTTCCTGGGCCTGCCTCTTACTGAGGGCCAAATTCAGTGCAGGAGGCGAAGTGAAAGCTTTGGCTGAGAAGTGCTTCTCATAGAGAGAAATAAACTCGCTCTTGAAGTCTAATCCAGTTCCTGATTAAAACACTACTCTGGTGGGTGTAGTGCCTCACACCTTTAATCCCAGCTCTTGGGAGGCAGAGGCAGGTGATCTCCGAGTTTCAGGCTAGCCTGGTCTACATTGTGAATTCCAGGATAGCTAGAGCTACATAGTCTGACCCTGTCTTGAAAAAACACAAAACCACAAACCACTGTGTTGGCTTCCTAATCATTTTCAAGGCAGGAAGATGAACTTAAAAAAAAAAAAAAGCTTATTAAGCCTTTCCTAATCAGGTCAGAACCTGTTCTTCAACTTCTCAGTCCAATCCCAGGCTAATGCTCCAGATGTTAGAACCTGCTTTGGGTGCTGGGTTCTGTGCTCTCTTCTTAAATGTTTACACTGGGAGCTAGGTGGTGGTGGCGCACACTTTTAATCCCAGCACTCAGGAGGTAGAGGCAGGTGGATTTCTAGTTCGAGGACAGTCTGGTCTATAAAGCGAGTTTCAGGACAGCCAAGGTTATACAGAGAAACTCTTGTCTTCAAAAAACAAAACAAAAGAAATTTACATTGGGTGGGGTGTATGTACTTCTAAGTGTATGTGTATAGGTAAGATCAACACACATTGAAGTGTCTCCCTGAATCGCGTTCCTTATTTACAGACAAGGTCTCACTGTGCCATCCTGGCTGACCTGCCCACCCCTGCCTCTCAAGTGCTGTGCGCTCCCATTCTCAGAACACTAGTTTTTTTTTAGTTAGTTAGTTTTTGAGTCTCTGAACCTGTATCTCTTTATTTGGCTAGGTTGGCTGGCCAATGAGCTCCAGGGGTCCCCCTGTCTCCCTCTCCCTTAGCCTCTCCTGGTAGTCCTGGGGTACAGGCTTTGTAATCTGAACTCAGTCCTAAGTCTGCTTGGCAAGCACTTCAACCGACCCAGTCAACCCCAGCCTTCCATTCAGCCCCTGATGAACTTTGGCACGTACCACTCTACTCAGAACACCCGTGCACACCACCACTTCCCTCCCTTTCCTTGGGCCAACTCCATAGCATTCCTCATTCTCAACTGTGGCTCCTAATCTGGGCAGCTAGGCCATAGCAGTAAGAGGGCTCATCTCACTCTGGCAGCCCCATTCCTAAGGTGGGATAGCTTTGGGTAATTGATTTAGTGGCTATTAACCTCAATTTTCTCCTCTGTCAAGTGGCTCAAAAAGAGTTTAGACCCACAATGCTTAAACTAAGGCAGAGATTCAGTGACTTACCCACAGTTCTGCAGCTAGGCCAGGGTGACCAGGATCTGGTGATGCTGGAAGCACCACGTAAATGATTTTTTGTTTGTTTCTGTTTTTCCCTTTTTTGAAACAGTATTTAGCTGTAGAGCTAAGGATGGCCCTAGCCTCACAATCCTTCCACCTAAGCCCCTAGGGCTGGGATTACATGTCTATTCTATTGTATCCAGCCCACTCTCTTTACTTGGCAGGCTTCCCCACCACCCCCAGTCAGCTCCTGGGAACAGGGACTGGTCCATCTCTCTGGACTCTGTGGCCAGTCTAGAAGTGACATGCTGACTGTGACTGTGGTCAACACTGTACTTTAATCCTGTCGTGAGGCTGTGAACTCCATCACTCTGCAGGTCTTAGAGTCGCTGGTCACTCTATAGCCAGACTAGGCGCTACCCTCCTGTGACCCTTGGTATCAGACAATCAGCCACTCACCTGAACTGTGGTTCTTCTTCCACTGGGACAACCAGAAGCCCCGAAGTCTGAGGTCCTTAAAAATGAGCAGGCTCTGTGGACACAGGAGGATTTGCTGGGGCTCCAAGTACTAGAGCTTAAAGCATTGCTTCGGGTATAGATCCCTGAGTTTAGATGGCTGTAGGGCAAGGAAAGAGACATCCCAGCCCTGGGCTGCAGGTCCCCAGCTTACCACAGAGGCTGTTACAGGTTGCTTGGCCATTCCCCCATAGGTCACCATGGTTCCTCCAGGCCTGCAGAGTTCAGAGAGAAGAGTGGGTACAGACAGAGACAGAACCTATCATGGCCTAAGGTCCTCCAAGAGGAACCTGCTAAGGCATTTACAGGAAACAACTCTGGCTCTTGGAATCTCTGGGGAGGTTAAAAAAATACAGCTTCCCAGTTTAAGCCTCTGATTTAAGGAACTAGGAGGCAGGGACTTTTATTAAAAATAACACACATTCTGGGTATGGCGGCACATGCCTTTAATCCCAGCCCTCGAGAGGCAGAGGCAGACTGACCTGTGAATTTGAGGCAAGCCTGGTCCACAAAGTTCCAGGCATGCCAAGGCTCCAGTGAGACTGTTTTAAATAAAGCAAGCAAGCAGACACAATGAGGCACAGGGGTACAGGCCAATAGTCTCAGTAGTTGGGAGGCAGAGGCAGGAGGATTAAGTTCAAGGCCAGTTTCAGCTATATAGAGATACCCTGTCTCAAAACCAACTACAGGGACACACACTCTCATGCTCCAGATAATCAAGACAATGATCCAGGGCTGGCCCGCCCACAGAGGCTGAGGCTGCGTGCTGCCCTGAATCTCCTGGACAGCAGAGCTCATGGCCAGGCTCAGTCTGGGCTCCACTTGCAGCTACAAAAGTGCAATCTGAGTGTTGTAATGAAGACGGGTCAGGCCTTGTCTCTTCATCTGTAGGTGCTCACTCTAAAGATTTCTGCCATGGCTTGGAGAGCCAGCTAAGGAAGGAGTGGCGTGGACAGGGAAGGTGACAATGATGACTATCCTCTCCAGAAGGGGCTTTGTTGGAACCTGCAGTCTGACAGCCATCTCAACAGTTACAGGCATGACACAAATGCACTGTTTTGTTTTTGAGGCAGGGTCTGGTCATGCAGCCCAGGCTGGTATCTAATTTGTAATCCTCCTGCCTCAGCTGAGATTCCAGGCAAGTGCCAATATGCCCAGCTCTGATGTAATTTCTTACAATGAATAGGTGAGGCTATCATATGCTAGACTTAACCTTTGCTGCCTTCCCTGCTCCTTGAGTCTTTTAGGAGTTGGTTGATCAAAAACGACCTGAGGCACATTTTAGAGCAACTGAGGAAAACTGCAAAGGACCTAATGGAAGTAACTGCTGTATCTAGCTCCCTACCTGTCAATCATAGTGCTGGGGCGGTACTTACCTCTTCACAGTTTAAGCACATGCTCTAAGTCGTATCCTCGGGCTCCTTATTTGTTTTCTCTCTGTGCTGCTGTGTCTCTGTGTACGTGCCTGTGTGTGACTATGTCTGTATCTTATGGTTGCCTCAAACTTGGCACATAGCTCAGTCTGGCCTGGAACTCACAACAATTCTCTTCCTTAGTTTCCGAAGTGCTAAGGGGTGCCCCCACAAGCCTGGCTTAGCTTGGCCATAAAGTTCCCCTCAAATGGCTCTCACTCAGGAAAGAAGCTTCTAGGACAGTGGTTCTCAACTGTGGGCCACGACCCCTTTGGGGTTGAATGACTCTTTCACAGGGGTCACCTAAGACCATCAGGAAACACAGCTATTTACATTACGATTCAAAATTAGCAAAATTAGTTGTGAAGTAGCAATGAGATAATTTTATGGTTGGGAGTCACCACAACATGAGGAACTGTATTAAAAGGTAGGAGGGTTGAGAGGCACTGTTCTTGGGGAAGCCCTCCCCTGTAGCAAGCACAGCTCTCAGCATGTTATCTATACTGTCTGCATGAATTTACCACAGTATAGCATCAGGAGAAACTAGTGTCTCTTCTGTAGGGAACGCTGAAGCCTGTCACTGCTGCATCACCTCAGCGTCTCACACCAGCCGCAGAGGCAGGCTTACTCCCATTTCAGAGATGAGGAGACTGACGCTTGGTCTTTTTCATATTTCCCCTAACTTTTCACAGGTTCACAACTAGTCAGGAGCAGAACTGGGGTTTGAATTCAGTTCTTTGAACGTCAGTGTCCATACTTGTGACCCCTGACGGAGGATGCAGTCAGCCTCACAGACTGTTCATGAACTGAACAGGAGTGGCCGTAGTTATGAGAAACTCGAGCTCAACTTCTGCTGTCCTGCCAACTATACCTTGAATGAGATGATTGTTCTCTCTGGGCTTAATTTTTTAAAGTCTAGAATGGAGATAGGGCGGGGGACACAGCTCAGTGATGGAACATGTGCTTAGCATGCCCAGCACCCAAAGGAAAAACAAAACAGAAATTTGGAATAGCAGCAGCTGCCTAGTGCTGCAGGACAGTGCAAAAGTCACTGCAGAGGCTGACTTTCAACACAGCTGCGCAGCTCACCTGTCTTGGCTATGCTCCACCACCTCCACAGCTGGGGGGTCACTCCAGTTCACAGGGAATGGAGCTCCTTCCTCCCCGGTGGGTGGGAGCTGGTAGAGTGCCCACCTCTTACCCCTTGGTACTTTATGTTCTTTCAAGTGTTTGTAGTAGCTATAATGTTTCCTTCACATTAATACATTAATTCTAGCTTTAAAAGACAGTAGGACAATATCAAAGCACTTAGTTCAGACTGAGTGACTGTTTTTTTGGTTTTTGGTGGTTTTTTTTTTTTTTTTTAGACAGGGTTTCTCTCCAACAGTCCTGGCTGTCCTAGAACTCTCTCTGTAGACCAGGCTGGCCTCCAGAGATCCCCATGCCTCCGGCTCCAGAGTGCTGGGATTAAGGGTGTGCGCCGTCACTGCAGACCAGGGAGTGACTTTTTAAGAGGCTCCTAGGGGGAGAAGAAGTTGACCAGGCTTCTTGTCCACAGAGGATGAGGCGGGGGAGTGCAGGCCAGGAAAATGTCCTGGTGTGCTGCTACTCAACTTCCTGAGTCACACCTGTCACTGACAGCCCTCCCGATACAAACCTGCGGTTGAGGGACTTACGCGAGGTGTCGTAGCAGCTCTGTGGAACTCTTCCCACCAACACAATTGAGAGCCAGTCGGGGCAGGGGCAGGTCCTGGAAAGTGAGGAGCCTACAGTGAGGGTGCAAGCTGCTGCAATGGAGTGTGAAGCTGCTCCAAGCAGCAAGTGCTGGACCAGGGAGACAGAGTGAAGGAAATGGGGTGTGGGTGACTCTTGGACGTGTTATCTGCCTATCAAGGGCTTTAGCAGCTTCATCCTGTTGCCCATCCTGGGACTCTGGGAAGCACAGATAAGGAGTATCTCTGGTCATTGTCAAGGTACAGAGATGTCTATCCATGATGTGTTGACCTACGCTTCAACAATGTTCTCCAGGGCAAGTGTTCAACAGCAGGTATTTGATCCTAACATATGGTTTAGTGCAGAAAAACTCCGACCGGGCCTGCTTACTAGGTCTGCTGTCCCACCTGCCATGTTGGTTGATAGAGCATCCCACAGATGTTTAAAACCTCAGCTTTCCTAAAGTCTATCTGTTTCTGCCTCCTTCACAGTGTCTGGACACCTACAACATGTTGTCCCATACTGAGGTTGGGACGGGCTTTATTCTTTCCAGAAGAGAAGGTGGTTTTCAGGGTAGAGCAAGAAGCCAGCCCCAGACTTCCAAATTATAGGGAATGGCACAGGACAGAGGGCATTGTTCGCTAGCTGATGACTTTGTTTTTAATTATTTTATTTTATTTTATTTTATTTTGAGACAGGGTTTCTCTGTGTAGCCCTGGCTGTACTGGAACTTGTTCTACAGACCAGACTATCCTCGAAATCACAGAGATTCTCCTGCCTCTGCCCCACCCCCCCGAGTGCTGGGATTAAAGGGGTGCACCACTACAATCTGGCCTATTTTTAAAGATTTATTCTCTTTTATGTGTGTGGATAAGAGTATTTTGCCTGCAGGTCTGTCTGTGTACCATGTGTGTGCCTGGTGCCCATGGAGATCAGAAGAGGGCAAGGGCATCTGATCCCTTGGAACTGGAGTTACAGATGGTTGTGAGCCACCATGTGGGTGCTGGGACTCAAACCCGGATCTCCTGCAAGAGCACCAGTGCTCTTAACTGCTTAAGAACGGCCCTGGCCCCTGGCCGGGTACCTTGAAGATGTTTTTTGTCTCGGGGATCCTTAGTTCCTCCTCTGTGAGGACATAGTCAGCTCCCAGATTCTTTAGTCTGTCAGTTAGCTTCTGGATATCAGGTCTGGAAACAAAACACAATAAAGGGCCCTGGTCACACTGGCCAACCTCCCTCTCTCAAGCTCCCAGGACCCCTCTGCCACAGCTTCGAGAACATGTGTTTCTGTTTTGAGACCTGGGATTGAGGTTAAGCCAGACCTCAAGTAGGGGCTGGTCACATAACTTAGTCATGCTCCACCAGCTCTTGCCTCATGTCCCCACGACCACTCCTCCCTGCAGAGCCAGGCTGGGAGACAACCGGAAAACCCTGTCAGTGTGCAGGCTAGAACTACTGGCCCAGGCAAGAGCCTCTCTCCTTCCTAGTTCTGACCAGACACTACCTTCTTTCCTCTTGTTCTCCAAGGCATTCATTGCATCACGCACTCTGGTGCAGTGGCCCTGGACTCTGGCCCGGGCACACAGAATCACTTTATCATCACCACAGAGTTGGGGCTGAAGTAAGCACTAATAGTAAGAATGAACTCCACGAGCGACTAGGCCACACTGGGGCACAGTGAAGCTTAAAGGGACTGAGGGGACAACGGAAAGAAGGTAGGTCTGTTACTGACTTGCCCTGTCCTCCTGAGCAAGCTGCTTCCTCTCTTGGAAACTTCAGCTTCCTCATCTGTAAAAGAGATCACAAGCCTGCCCCACCTCCTTCCCAGCTGTGTTTAGTGCACAAACGTCAAGTGGATGGGTACCATGGGCTAGGGAGTTCACACAATGGTACACCTCAAGACCCTCCCGAATGGGAACTGTGGTTTTGAAAGTCTGGGTTACATTAAGCCAAGCTCAACTGCTCAGTAAGGACCACCTCTACCTCCTTCTGACACCTCTGTTTCAGACTTTCACACAGACTTCTCTGCCCTGGTGAAGGCATGAGCTTCAGCGGTCAATCACTCATGCTTACACAAGCGCGCCATCTGGTGGAGATGTGGGTACCCACAGGGTAAAAATTTCCAATATGTACCTGTCTCGCACCACATTGATGGTCTTTAGGCGAAGGGCTGAGGCGATCTGGATGACTGCTTGCCCCACTCCACTGTTTGATGCATTCTGGATGACGGAGTCCCCTGTGGAAGAGATCCAATTCAAGTCCTGCAAACCTTGGCAGGTTGGAGGCTCCCAGCCTGGAATCCTGGGGCAGATCTAGGACCCAGCAGCACAGCCTTCTCAGACCTTGAACTGTCACTCTCTGTTATCTCCGTACTTCCCACGTTCTACCACACCCCGAATGCTTCACAGGACTGGCCACTCTGTCCCTGTTTCAGGCTCTGCTATGTGCTTGACCTTGAGCATCTTCCCAATTTTTTTTAAAATTTTTTTCTTTTGGTTGATGTTTGGTTTTTTGAGACAGGATTTCTCTCTGTGTGTATCTCTGGCTTTTCTGGATCTTGACATCAGAGATCCACCTGCCTCTGCCTCTCAAATGCTGGGATTAAAGGCATGTGCTGCCACCACCACCTCTTTCTAATTTTTATGTCCTCTGTTCTCTGCTTGGGTCATTTATTTTTTTTAAAGTTGCATTTCTTTGTGTGTATATATGTGTGCACACATGTGTAGGTCAGAGGACAGCTTGCAGGTATATAGGTTTTCTACCATGCAGGTTCAGGGATCAGATTCATGTTGTCAGTCTCAGTAGCAAGCACTTTTGCTTGCTAAATCATCTCCCTGGCCCATGCTCAGGTGACGCATCTGGTTCGCAATGGTTTTTTTAAGTTCAGCTCAACTGTGGCTTCCTTCATAAAGCCCTCCTGGGTTTCTTCCTGTATCCTCCTAAAGGACTGATGTCTCACCAGCTCAGGCTGTAACTGTGTTCTGTACGCAGCTGTACCTAGGTCCACATCTATCAGGTCACCTGCAGTCCTACAGGAGGGCTATACCTTATTCCCCTCTGTAAAGGTGCGCTTGAAATGGATGAGAGCCATACTGGAGAAATGGGAAGCTCCAGAGGCCCTACAGAATATTTGCTTTTGCTTTGTGGTGCTAGGGATGGAACCTATGGACTTGAGCATGCCAGGCAAGCACTTTACCACTGAGCTACCCTCACCCCTACAGAATGACTGTGCTCAAAGCCCTTTGCACTTCACCAGTGTGAGAGGCTGTAGTGGCATGGCATTTCATTTGTATTTTAATAAACAAAGCTTGCCTGGGGATCAGGAAAGTAAAACAGCCACTCTGGCCAGCCTTACAGACCAGGCAACAATGACACACACCTTTAATCCCAGTAACCAAACTAGCTTGCCATAGACACCAGGCAGTGGTGGTACACACCTTTAACTTGAGAGGATTATAAAATAAGAGGAGACAGTTCTCAGTCACAGTCTCATTCTGAGATCCCTGGAGGCAGGATCACCATTTCAGACTGAGGTAGAGGTAAGAGCCAGTGGCTGGCTGTTTTGCTTTTCTTCCCTTCAGGTTGAATGAACCCAAATTTCTCTGAGTTTTTATTAATTGTGCTTCAAGATGGAGTGTGGTGCACTAGGGAAGTATGGGCTCTGGAACACAAGGAAGCTGGGTGTGCATCCTGCTTCACTACTGACTGTAACAAAATGAGACAGGCCACATCACGTCCTCTTCAAACTTCAGTTTGTCTTCCTTAGAAAACAGGAGGCCTGAGAGTGCCTATCAGAGCATCTGTGACTGAAGCCAAATGAGCGGGAAGATGCTCTGCTGACTGGGAAACACTATCTGGTTTTGAAAGTCAGCAAGAGTCAGTGTAGAATGGGCTATAGCTAGTGGCAGACTCCTGGGTCAAGCATGCCCATTTGCCTTGGTCAAGGCTTCAGCCTGTCTCTTGCTAGTACATTCTCAACGGTGTAGGCTGCCAGCAGCACTGATTTGTTTCAGTCAGAGGCTAGGAGTACAGGAGTGCAGAGCAACAAAGACACTGAAGGCAAGTGCTGGGCTGCCAAACGCTGCTTTCCATTATCTGTGTTCATTTATACAAATGTTCTAGTGAGCAGTGTGACCTTTATGCTTACTTTGGTCAGGTCATGAATTTGTTTGGCCTCATCAGCCCTGAGGCAGCAAAGTGGAAATGTGGCCTGCAGGCACTTAAAGTGGGTGGCATCAGAATGCCTGGCTCTGTCAAGCACAGGGCTGCCCTAATCAGGAGTGACCTCAGACTAGGACATGAGATGAGGCACCCAGTGTCTGCTTTACTAGGATGCTCAAGTCTCTCACCACACCTGGCTCTCTCCACCAGAGGCACCTAAGACTCCCCTTGTCATGGCTGAGGGCCTTGGTCAGTGGCTATCTAGTTTTTCATGGTCCAATAGCTCTTAGCCTTGGTTCCTTACTGGCATGAGAGAAGACCAGTAGGTGATTTCTACAGCCCTGCTTGCCTCACAGATATGCAGTATACAGAGAGGGCCTTCACACATGGGGAAGATAGGGCTGGCTGGGGACATAGAGGAATGGCAGAATGACTGCTTGGCATGTTCCAAGCCCTAGATTCTATGGTACAACTGGAAACACCCCCCCCCAAAGCAACAAAACCAAACTGGCCTGTCTTCTGTCTTTTGGGGGTTAATTCTGCGGTGTATCTATAAGGACCCTTAGGGGATTGTGGGGATGACAGCAGTAACTGCTCTTAATGAGCTCGGCCTCGGTCCTGTCTTGCTGTCCCACTTCCCCCACTCCTGCTTCTAGGGATGCCTTCCCAAACAATCAGTTTGCCCCAAGGTCTGCTTGGTTTTTGCTTTCAGAGGAACTTGAGTGACACTTCTGGCTGCTTACTTGTTCCCTCACTGATGAAAGGAAGACTAAACATCACACTGTGGTGACCCGTGAGTCTCTGGCACCCCTTTACTCTCCATCTTACGGGGGAGCAGTGATGTGACTGGTGGAGGTGATGCCTGGTTCCAGACCCTGCTCGTTTGCCTGGGGCTGCCTAACAGGACCCTTCTGCATTGCTCTGAAGATGAGACGCACTCTGCAGGATGATGCTGCAAAGGCGCTCATGCGAGGGCAGTGCTGTGAAGTGCTGAGCAGAATTATTAACACCAAGTTCAGCATTTTATTGAAAACAGTGACACTGTCTGTCTCCCCTGGCTTTGTGTCCCCAAAGCTTAGCACAGCTCAACACATTTTTGCTGGGTGACAGCATTCCAGCCCCAGCTCTGGGGAATGTGACCAGCACTTCTCAGTGTGTCCTCAAGTGTTTTCGAGGAACCTATTGAACATGTTTTTACTTAAAGCTGTAAGATTTACTCAGGTTAGAACTTGTCACTGCCCCTAGGGGCCCTCCCTCCGCCACGTGTGCCAGCGAGTTCCCAAGTCTTTGGGGCCAGGATTTGGGTTGCACTCCAGTGGGAAAACCTGGGTGCTTGTTTCAACTTGTAGGTGCCTACCTGGCTGCAGCTGTTCAAAGTCCACCAACATCCTGTAGGCTGTGCAAGGGTTGACACCTAGGGTAGCAGCGCTCTGGAGAGGGATATCCTTAGGGATTCCGATCAGCGTTTCCTCACTGAACACAGCCTCAGTCCGCCAGGTTCCTGAGTCAGGATGAGGCAAGGTAGTAAGGAAGGAACCCCTGCACACACACCCCCAGGCTACCCTCTATGGTACAAGGGCATCGAGGGTAGAAGATTTTGAGCAACACTTGGAGGAAAGAGAAAAGCTGGCGGTGTCCAAGTCCTCGTGAAAGTTACATGCACAGTGATGTAAAATAATAAAGCAAGTTTAAGTTAGGCTTAGTAAGTCATAGCCCAAAGAGTCCTGATAGTGTGAAACACGTGAGAACAAGACTCCACTGGGCCCTCTCTCTGTTTGTGTTTGAGTCTGAGCAAATTTTGCTTCCCAAGCTTTAACTCCTTGTACGCTGGTCGGGGTAGATATTGTCTGCTATTCTACTGGGCAAGGTGTTAGGGAATCATGGGAGTAAACTAAAAAAAGGTCAACCCAAGATTCAAACACTAAAATTTCTATATGTAATCCTTAACAGCTTGTCATTATTTTGTAAAAATGAACGAACAAAGCAGACTGGGGCCTCAAACTGGCCTCAAAGCTAAAGGGTAAATTAATGACAGTGTGTATAGTTAGGTGTCCCTTCCTGGCCAAAAACTAGAGGGAAAAAAAGCTAAATGGTAAGCCTGTCAGTTCGGTTAACTAGTTGCTATCTCAAACACCTACTCTTGGGGGCCACACAGAACAGCCTTTCACTACCCTAAAGTTAAAAGCCAATGGAAACAATGGCTGAAAAGACAGCTTCGTGGTTGAAAGCACTGGCTGTTCTTCAATATGACCTAGGTTCAATTCCCAGCACACACATGATGGCTCACAACCCTTTTTAACTCCAGTTCCAGGGAATCAGATGCCCTCTTCTGGCCTCCAAGGACATTGCATGCTTTTGGCATACAAATATATGCTGGTGAAATACCCACACATACTAAATAAAACTTTAAAAATCTTTTAAAAGGCAGGATGTGGTGGCACACACCTCTAATCTCAGTACTTGGGAGCTAGAGGCAGGTGGATTCAATCTGAGGCCAGCTTGGTCTACCCTGTCTCAGAAAAAAAAAAGAAAAAAAAGAAAGAAAGCCTACAGAAACAAAATTTGGGTTAATTATTTCTTCAGCTTGCCTAAGGAAATGAAGCTATTTTCCTGTCCCAAGCTCATTTCATTGGGCAGAAAGCAGTTCTCACATGGAACCTTAATAAAGGGCTCAAGAGACAAAGCTGAGAGGTGCCGATTCTTTGTTTTCTCTGGTGTGCTGTGCCCACTCTCTTCCTACCTCCACTTTATTAAAGCTCTCTTATCCTTCCCTCTGGTCTCTAGTTCATTCCCTAACGTTCCTCGTCCGTCTCAGGGAACACTGCCTTTTGCGGCTCCCATGAAGATCCATTTGGATAATGGACGTGCCTCGGAAACATAAGGGCTGAAAAGCAGAGCGCTCTAACGACACTTTTCCATACATAAATGAAACGCTGTCCTCAGCTTGGCTCTTCAGGGCCCCACTCCACCTCTGGAACCTTCTTCTCATTATGTAACCTCTCCCCCAGGCAAATCCTCAGCTGGGGCTACACTGGAATTTCCATTTCCCAGACTTGCCCTGATGTCTGCTCAGCTTACTTCTTCCATAGGAAGTGGCTTTTCCCATCTCTGTGCAACAACTTCTCCACCAACAACTTGTTTTAACAGACTTTCTTACAGTCTTGCTTGAATCTTCCTCAGGAGCATCTGTCTGTCTTACACACATGCATGCAGAGCAGCCCTTGGGGTACTCCCTTTGTTGAGGTACTGCCTTCCTGATGCTCTGGAAGGCAGGGCCAGCCATATCCGTAATCTGCACCATCACACCTTACAGCCCAGACTCAGGAATCAGATCCTCATAGCTCCAATCAACATGGAGCCAAGGAGACGGACATGCAGGTATGTCCCGCCAGGGCACAGCAAACAGGATTCTGCTCTCTTGGCTCAACTCCATGCTACTGGAGGCAGGCCTATGAACTTAACAATGAATCCTTCACTGCCTAGTTACACCACGCCAGTGGGTATACATCTCCAGAGTAGATGAGCTAGGATCTGAAAGCATGAAATGGCGCTCACACCAGGGGACACTCACCTAAACCAGCACTTGCTGGGATCACCCAATCTCCCGGCTTCAGTCGAGACACACTGCTGCCCACTGCTACCACCTGTCCGACACCTTCATTCCCTCCAACAGCAGGCAGCTTGGGAAGGAGGCCATAGTTCCCTGGGAGAGAAGAATCCAGAGGGTACATATTATGATCTGACTAAAAGTGTTACCCACAGACTTGATATTTGAACCCTTGGTCTTGAGCTGGTGGCACCCTTCTGGGGAGGTCTGGATTTGTTGAAGTATGTCACTGAGGGTGGGATTCAGTCTTCAAAGCCATGTGCCATACTTAGTGCTTGCTTTATGTTTTGGGTTCAAGGTATGAGTCCTCAGCTTCTTCCCATGCCCATTTCTGTTTCCTGCTGTTACAGATGCTAACTCTCTGGAACTGTATACCCAAACAAACTTCCTTCTAGAAGCTGATTTGCTTATGGTGTTTTATCATGGGAACAGAAAAATAATACAGTCGCACTGCCAGGTTAGACTCGAGAGCCTAGACTTTGGGGTTATTCACATCTGAGTCCACCAGGGCCCTGCACTCACTACCTGCCTACCTAACCAAGCTCTGGTCTTCTGCTTTCCTGTCTTTGTGGGGAGTTAATACTCTGTGGGACACAGTTATCATCAGGGTAAGCTAATACTCTGTGG